ACTTTCTGTCTTAAGAAGTCTTCCTTACTCTCAATGTCCATGATATCGTGCCGATATCGAATCATGATTGTTCAAAGAATCATGGTTTCCATCTTATTATAATACAAGTACTGTATTTTTAACATGTGTTATTTGAAAACTATCTTTTATCAAATTTTCCCTGTAGTGTCGATATCGTCGATATCGACGATGTTGCTTCGATATCGAATCATGTCTGCTCACCTCCTTGTAAATACCGTCCCTGTTACATTGTATGTGTATTTATGTTTAATAACTTTACTTTAATAAAGATTATACCTGCCATCGATATCGTCGATATCGACGATATCGTATCGATATCGAATCATGGTTGTTAAAATGTATTACTTAACCAACCTTCACCCTAATACACAATCTAAATTTTTAACATATCCCATGACAATAAGTTCAATTTCCTCATGCAACGCGTTTGTATATTTACTTTCTGATAAATTAGTTTACCCTACTGTCGATATCGACGATATCGTATCGATATCGAGTCATAATTGTAAAAATATATTTAACAACTTTCAACCTCAAGCAACATCTTGCTCTGCACCTAATCTAAAACAATAACAACCACTTTCCTCTTCCTTATCATGATTTTATTTCATATTCATGCTAATAATGAATTTGACATCACTTGTGATCTTGTAAAATAATGTTATACCACATTATGAAAAATTCATTATTATAAATTCTACAAAAAGGATCGATATCTATACGATATCGTCGTGTTATTGTCGATATCGACGATATCGACACAGCACAAAGTCTCATATATGGTACCAAGTATTTCAAATTAACAGTGCTCATCATGATCGATATCGAAACGATATCGACATATTATTGTCGATATCGTCGACATCGACATCAAATTCGTTCTTGGACATGTATAAAAGTATCCTTAGGTAAAGGGGATTCAAGTTTGTTCAAATGAAGGGCTACGCCCTTATTCAAGGGGAGATAATTCAGAAATAGTGAAAATGTGGTGGTATGTTTTAAAAATCTTCTTCTTAAGAACCATTGTGCCAGGAAGGATGAAACTTATAGGGAAGCATCCTCAGGTAGTGTAGGTTCAAGTTTGTTCAAATCATGACCCCCGGGGGTAGGGCGGGGCCACAATGGCCGATCAAAGTTTTACATAGAAATGTATAAGAAAATTCTTTAAAAATCTTCTTCTCAAGAGCCACTGTGCCAGGAAAGATGAAACTTATAGGAATCATCCTCAGGTAGTGTAGATTCAAATTTGTTCAAATCAAGACCCCGGGGGGTAGGGTGGGGCCGAAATGGCAGATCAGAGTTTGACATAGGAATATATAGGAAAAATCTATAAAATATTTTTTTCAACAACCATTGAGACAGGAAAGATGAAACACATGTGAAATTATCCTCAGGTAGAGTAGATTCAAGTTTGTTCAAATCATGACCCCCGGGACAAGGGTGGGGCCAAAATGGCCAACCAAATTTTTACATAGGAATATATAGGGATCTTCTTTTCAAATACACCAAAGCCTTGATTAGTGAGATTTATATGGAATTATTCTCAGGTAGTGTAGATTGTAGTTTGTTCAAATCATGACCCTCCTGGGGGGTTAAGATTCAAGCCCCCTCCCCCCCCCCTCAACCTCCGTAAACTTTCAGTTCTGATCTGATATATTTGTGATTTTTCCTAGCCAATGTGCTCAGGTGAGCGCTGTGGCCCCTGGGCCTCTTGTTCAAATGTGTTTTCAAATTTTGAAAAATAAAAAGGTTTTGAATTTTGATTTTTCTTTTGACAATTTAAATAATAATCTAAGTATACTTATCTTGAAAATTATCTGTGTATTAGAGTAAGTTAAACTCCGTTTTCAGCTCCAACGGTCAAAGACCAGAAGACACTTTGTGATAGTAAGATGTCCGTCATCTGTCTGTCTGTAAACAGTTTCTCAAAATACTACTCCTACAGTTTTAGTCTAATTTCAGTAGAACTTGAAACACATAAAAATCAAAGTTCTTATTATCTCAGATGTCTCCCTCTTGCATTTGGCAAAGCCTTGACTATCTTTTGCATGGATTCCATCAGTCTAATAGGGATATTATTCAACCATTTTGATAAGACAGTCGTTAGTTGATCAAGACTATTTAGTAGATATTACTGTTTTGGGCATTTTGAACCATACATTTTTGATGAGGAAAAGACAAATCATGTGAATGCGAAAAAGTAATCAAAACTTTGGCTATATTGAGCCGGGGATTAACATGCTCCTTGTCAAGATCGACAAATAACTGAACAAATGAGAAAGACAATTTGGTTTTCAAAATTGGCCTGGGCTGATATTAGTAATGAAAACCTCTTTCAGCATTTTTATGCCACTGAGTTTAGACCCTTTGCTACATGTATCTGTTTTCGTCCTTCTTGTGTCGTGTGTTAACGTTAACATTTATCATATTCAGCTTCCTCTCTGCAACCACTGAACAAATTTCAACCAATTTTGAAATAAAACATAATTGGGTATAGGGAAACAAAAATTGTGAGTTTCGTGGTCCCTGTCCCCCATAGGGCATGACAGTTGGAGCCAAAACCACTAAAATTAATGCAACCTTTAAAAATCTTCTTCACTCCTGTACATCAAGCAGTCAAACTGTTGGCATAATTTAATCAGCATTGAGTCCTCTTGCAAAATTGTCAAATTCATGGACCCAGGCTCAGTGTTTTAGGTGCTATATGTAGGATAGGGTGAAAAAATATAGTAAAAATGCATTATTTCTTTGAAAATCTTCTCTGCACATGGGCATTTCATAAACTTACGAAGTTCATGATCAATTTCAGGGTCATAGGTACTGGGGAGGGGGGAGGTATATAGTCTTAAAGTATATTAATGCTTTGAAATCAGCTCGTTGGTATTAATCAACCATTTATAATGAAATACAATTTATGATTAAATTTAAATAATTTTGGCCCTGGCCATGAAAATTTTAAATAGATTTTACTTCATGTGAATACAAACATAGATCTGCTTCTACCTGGTCAAAACTCGTACCCATTGGTATTTCGACAGATTTTTTGAGGACCCTATCTCCAAAAACTACTTAGATATTGTGAATTGGAAACATGAGTTAATTATTTGGTTTATTGATTAAGGGGATAATATCTCAGAGTATAACTAGAGTATTTTATAGTCCAATAAGCAGAGTTAAAACATTTTTGTGACGTCATCTTTTGTTAAACCTGGTTCAATAAATTTGTTATTGTCCTGCACCCCGTCCAAAAGGTTACCTGTAGGTGTCCAATAAGATTCAACTTATTGGACAGGTACAGGTAACGTTAAAATGAGAACAAAGGGCGAGGCAAATAAGTAAACAGCACTTAAAAATCAATGACAAATCAAACAATTTAATATGGACAATGTAGGAAATAAGTAGCGTTAAATGTTAATATTTCACAAAAAATCCTATTGAAAATGGCACAAATAATCCAGTGAGTTGAATGTCTCAGATTCATTATTGTAGACGCATCCGTGGCTCCGATTATAAATTTCGTAAATTCAGCGTTCGTTGCTGTATACTGGAGTAATAGATTCATTTCACAATGATTGATCCATGGAACATACCGGGTATATAGAATCCAATGGACACAAAAGATAAACGAGAAGCATGCCTTTTTACTTCTTACACACAACCTTGGGCTTTTTGTTTATTGAAATATCCATTTTTTCCGCATTTAGCACAAAATTTAGCTCACGAAATTCCAACGGAATCTGTAATTTCGTCCGGTGATTTATGACCATTTGTCCACCTAGTCCCGCGTTGTTTGTGCGAGTGTCTATCGTTCTTTTAAGGAGTGGCTGGAGTAAAAATCCTTCCGAGTTTAAAACCTGTACACAATAGAGAAAGTGTTGCATTAAAAAAAACATTAGAAATAATCTCCCAATTTCATAGAAAATGCTGAAACAGTTGTTGGAGTAAAATCCTTCAAATCCTATTAATTTACAAAAATTACCTGTTCACGGGAAATTGTTTCTTGCAAATTCCGAAACATAGGAATATATATCCGGATTTCACAGTAGAAAACTTGAACTGAAGAGGCATCTTGGTGTAATCGATAAATGGCATCGTCAAAACACCCGATTCTGAAGGTCTTTTTTTCAAAATTAAAATTTACGTCGTCATTCGTGGTCGTTGCGTTGTAAAATGAATAAATTGTAAAGAATTTAGTAGAACTGACTTTAACGCATGCGTAGTATGTATAAAAATGTCGCAATGCGGATAAATAAGACTAAACAAAGTTAATGTTCATATTTATCGATATAAAACACCTCTCGATGATTCCTACTATTAATAACCAAAAATGGTTTTCTTTGGCCTAACTTGATGAACAGTGCCAGGTAGTCATCCAAGCAGAACGAGACCTTACCTGTGGCTGTCCAATAAGTTAACAATGGAATGTTCGATAGTGGTCACTGGATGAAAAGTCCAGTTTCCGCAAAACTGAAACTATACGGAAACCTTGCTGAAACTTGGCGTTGAAGTTTCCTGTATGGTTTCCGCAATGCGGAAACTATATAATAGTTTCAGCAAGTTTCTGTAGTAAGTAAGTCATAACCCTCAAACTGACCATTATGTCAGATATTAGACTCTCCTCGGCGCTAACGCGCCTCGGGTCGTCTAATATCTGACATAATGGACAGTTTTCGGCTTATAACCATTACAGAGTGTATATTGTATAAAATTTATTGAAAGATTGCAAAATAGCTATATATACATCAAGAGTACATTTTTATGAATAACAATTCAGTGTATAGGAAAGTTCATAAATACGTATCACAGACAAATCTTTTTATATATATATATATAAAAACATCAAGATTTGATTTTTAAAAATAAAAAAGTTAACATCGCACTCTTTTACTAGAAAACTCTCAAGTACGCAAAGTTGTTATTTGCGTTTTCTGTAAAACATAAATAATTCACAATGCACAGAAGAAATGTGTTTATTCTCCTATAACCGTTCATTTGTTTTTTCTCATTGCTCAGTGGGAGATGTTTTATTCCCGGTATAAGATTTTGAAATGTATAACGCAAGGATTGCTACCACTATCTGAAAAATATAATCAGCTCATTTTATTCTTTTTCAGAAATTGATATTAGGTAGTATATATATATATATATATATATATATATATATATATATATATATATATATATATATATATATATATATATATATATATATATATATATATATATATACTATGAAAATTGAAGAAAACGAACATAATTCAGCCTCAAAGTCTGTTGCTAGGAAGAGTGAACATCTCCTGTCGATCGGTCACATCCGTCATGTGCTCCAAAACATGATAAGGGAAAAAACGAAAAATCTTTAGACAATTCAGTCTGTAGATAATGGCCTAACAATGAGTATTTAAAAACGGGTCAGCAGCACTTAGCAAAAAATAGATTGTTTTAGTATCCACCATGGAACTTGCGAAATGATGCATTTGACTTGAAACGAGTTTATCTATTTCAGAGTACCGGTACTTGTGTGTATAGTGCAGGCCACTGCAGGGAAAGAGACAAATAAATTTTATAACATTAAGCAGCACGAGTATCAGCAAACTAAGTATCAGCATCCAATTAGCATCATGATCAGCATTTAAAAAAAAGCAAAGCCAGGATCAGCATCGGCAAGCAAAGGAAGAACTGGAATAGACCTACTTGATTAGAATATCAATGATGTCTTATTTTGGAAAAAAAAATGAAATCTGAGACAGAAAACTTTTTAAAGACTACCTGCGGTAAAAAAAAAACTATCAGTTGATTCGATATGCAAGAGCATGTTCTACGTATAAGCAATTTTTAATCAATTCCTACCCGGTACATGTAAATCCAACTATTAGGCAACTGTTTCGTTTTTGACAACGTATTAGTATGTTATTTTCTACTGAATTGTCTACAGATTGTTTTCATGTGATCGTTAATGACAAGAAACAAGCAGAATGTGTTTCCCTTTGACAGGGGATGCTAGCTCCTCCATGGCAGCTGATACATCTCATGTTCTAGAGATTTGTATTTTTCCTGTTATCAACTGTTATTATCCAGTTTTGATGTTTATTAATGTTCCTTATCATAATGTGAATTGAAAATTCATGTATATCTCTCGGAGTATGTGAACAGAGGGGAAGTTTTAAGAGCTTGCGACCACAAATGTGTTTCGGAACCTCTGTTTTGTCAAAAAAATATCATTAAAATATTTAATGATTAAAACAGAAAGTATTGTTTTCCATTGTAAAATAAAATTCTGTATTTTTTACATAAAAATACATAATAACTGAAACTTTACCTCAGTAATAATAAGTAGAACACCAACAGCAATAACGCCCGAAGAATAAGGAATTATTATATTTACCAGTACATCGTAGCATCCCTGGAAAGAAACAGTTCTTTAGAAATAAAAATACCTCTCTTTCTCTTTCCAGCTATCTACCTACTAGTATCCACATATCTTTTTGTCCGTTAATGAAATTGTATGTAAGGGTGTGTATATGTTTAATTCAATTGAATAATTTCACATTATCATTGAGTTTTTGTTGAGTAAAATTCTCTTTAATTACCTGGTTGTTATATGTTCCACTGTCGACGTTTGCATGGCATGTTGAAGGAGCTGAAGAGGACGTGCTAACCGTGACTCCATTACAGCAGGTCTTTGGAATTTGTGAATTTGTTTGTTGACATTCTCCGCTAGTAGTGCACCAAGGAGTCTGGTCAAAATCATTAGTTGTGCTGAACACTGCATTTACTGCACAACAGTCCAACTAATCCAATGTATAATATTTATGTAAAACATAAACATGCATGCCGCTGAATAAAGCAAACACCAAGACATAGGGCATTGAAATATTAACATTTTAATACATTGTTTTTAGCATTGTGGTGGAATTTTTAAAGTCTATGATGATGTCCATCATACAAAATTCAGAAAAATAGTTTTTCTGTTTAATGTCTAATTGAAATAAAATACTAATGAAGAACTAAAGCAAAGCTCGTTGCAAAGCAACAAGTAGGTCTTCCATCCAGTTTGACCGGTAGTAACTTTTATTTATTTTTTTTTAAATAATGTCTCTGAGGATTTAAATATTCCAAATCTATGTTGAGAATTGCAAAGAAAGCCATTTTTGCTACTTCCTGTTCGACCGGAAGTGACGTCGACGGACAGAAAATTAAGTTTTATGCTTCCGGTGACAAATATTTTTCAAAAACGTGTCAAGAACGGCAAAAAATATGCATTTTCTGACTACTTCCGGTTTGGAGACCAGGTTTTCTAAACTAAATTGGACGAAGTAACGTCACAGGGTGTATTTTGATGATCTCAATAGATTCTGCCAGAGATTTGAACAACTTTGCTTCTTTAATTTATAACAAATTCTCAATACTTTTTGAGATATCTGGAAAAAACGCTCGGCCCCTCTAGATCCCCTAATTTAGGGATCAGCCCCTTTTTAGATATCATTTGAAAGAACTTGTAATTCTGCACAAATTATGTTCTATATGATTTAATAAAATATTTTTAGTTTAGAGATAAGATAAAAAGCAAAAATATGTGTAAATTTTCGCTCTTTTTGGCGTTCTCATTTCTTTCCCCAATATAGCGCCATTTTGAATAGAGAAATCGAAAAACATAAACCAAATTGCACAACTTCAATTCTTCCTCATCTAAAATCGGTAGAATTTCTGTTCCAGCTTTTGTCGCATCTGAGCCTTTGTCTAGAACTGAATGTCTATAAATTTTCGTTTAAAGGGAAGTAACTCGAAAGCGGAAGTGAATTTTTAGAATATAAGGCAGAATTCTGATAACTATCCCTATACACTCAGAAAATTCAAGCAAAATCCATTGAGAAATGAGAGAGATATGAGGCCTCAAAGTTGGCGTCTAGGAAGTAGAAGAAACTAGAGGTACTGTGAGCAATGAGCTCACTTAATGATACCCCCCGCCTCCCATATGAATAAATTGGCAGTGTCCATGTTTTGCTCTGGAAAATCTAAAATATATGTCAGATCAAAAAGGAAAATAGAAGGTGCACAATGGCAATGTGTAATAAAGATTCTGTGAAAGTTTCATTAAAGGATGGCTGCACTTAACGCCGGTTTTTGGGTCTTTTTCAATCTCTGTTGTCATATTTATTTTTGTTTTTATTTTTGCCTTAAGTCATTTGTTATAGAGTTTGGTCTATTTCCAAATGAAAGCAATGTCATAAACGTTATAGACTGCGTTGCAATAAAATAATTCGTTGTTTGCTTACCCCAACTCTCTGCAAATATCGGGAAATTAGACTTATCTGCCCTTGATTGGAGATAAAATTTATAAATATGCATAAAAGGCGGAGCTAATATTGTGAAGAGTGGTCTAAAATTAGAATAGTTACTGTATTTATATTTGGTGCATTTTCTCTCTCTCTCTCTCTCTCTCTCTCTCTCTCTCTCTCTCTCTCTCTCTCTCTCTCTCTCTCTCTGCATATGTTTGTCACTATCATTTTTTTAAGTTTTCAAATAAAGTATATAATAAGTAATAAATAACATCGTAAAAGCAGCCATTGATAATCAACAGCAATGGCTGATGTCAACAATTCGCGTGTTCGAATATGAGTGCCGACTAGCTCAGTCGGTAATGCATAGAATCAGTAATATTGAGGTCTGGGATCGAGACCCGCTAACAACTTTAAGACTTGCTTTATTTTTCCCTTTTTATAAAAAAAGAAAGAGAAACGTCACAATTACTTAAGTTTTTCTTAATATCTTCTCCCCATAAATTAGCGTGCTGGGGATGGTATGATTTCATTTTATATACTGGATCTTATTTGGGATGTTCATGATAAGTAAAGGTTACATGCCGAAAACTGTCCATTCTGTGAGAAGAAAGAACTATTGGAGGGCCGTTAGGCCCGACAATAGTTCTTTTTTCTCACAGAATGGACAGTTTGAGGCTTGTAACCTACTTAAAACATTTCATTCCATTGTGTTCAGATTGGACTCTCTTAGAAAAGTTTCTCTCTTGCAACGTCAATGAAGTAAACATCCTTTGTATTAAATTTGGCATTGTCTTCTTAGTAGACTGTCTCAGGTAAATTTGTTGATTTAAATACTGTGAATAGGATTCACTTCAATTGTTAACTTAGTGGACAGTTACAGGTGAGTTCCTTGGTTTTGTATAAAAAGCATGCACATCGAACACCACTTCTTAGTAAATGTCCCTGCGGTTAGGATGTCCTCTTCAGATGGAGAAAGCGTGTTTTTAACACAAAACAAGTTTAGAGAAGTTGATGAACAAGAAAACAACACGGATGGCATTCTCAGTGATATTTTGGATTTGGAAAGAGAACATCCAAAAAAACAACCGAATTTTGACCTCAAAGTAGATATTTTTTCGGATATTTCTGACGAGGAACTTGTTAAGGCCACCCAAGACATAGAAGGAAAAGAAAATATTGAAAGGTTTGCACGGCTCAATCAAGATTTAGATAATTTGGTTTAGAAAGGTTTATCGAAGAAAACAGAGCAAAAGTCAAAGTGGGCAATGACTCTATTAACGAACTGGCAAAATGAACGAAAGCGTATGTTACCAAACCATGATACATTTATGTACCAGGATATTATGAAAATGAGTGATGAGGAAATCAACAAAACAATGAGTTTCTTTGTAGCTGAAGTGAGGAATAAATCTGGAGAGGATTACAGACCCAATAGCTTGTATGAAATTGTGTGTGCAATTCAACACAAATTACGACATGAAGGTAGATTCATAAACTTTTTGGATGATGATAAATTTCACGATATGCGCAGTATTCTTGATTCAAAGATGAAAGAACTCTCTGGGCGAGGCATGGGGATAGAGCGGAAACGGGCAGAGATCATAACTGAGGCTCAAGAAGATGAAATGTTGTCCAAGGGAGTTTTAGGAAGAGATACACCTCAAAAACTCTTAGATACTCTACTGTTTCAACTAGGACTACATTTTGCACTACGAGCAGGACAGGAACACAGAAACTTGAGGGTTGGGACAAACAGTCAGATTTCTCTTTCCATGGATGCATCTGGACTGCGATATCTCGAATATAGAGAGGATGTCTCCAAAACAAATCGCGGTGGGCTCCAGCACAAAAATCTGCAACCTAAAGTTACCAGAGCATACCAGAACAAGAATGTTCCCGAGAGATGTCCTGTGCTCACGTATGAAAAATATCTGCATTTAAGGCAAGTATATTGTTGTTAATTTCCACCAAAATATTGCTGTAACATATATCTTAATTTAAAACACTTTAATCTATAATATGCAATTTTCTTTTAAAGGCCTGAAGCTGGTAAAACCAATGCTCTCTATTTGCGACCTCTGCGGTACCCCACAGATTCCACTTGGTACGCCGACTCCCCTGTTGGAGTACACACTCTACAACAGACCGTCGCAAAACTGTGTAAAATAGCAGGATTTACTGGCCACTACACAAACCATAGCCTCAGAGCAACCGCCGCAACACGCCTTTACGATGCTGGCATTGATGAGCAGCTAATAACCGAGAAAACTGGACACCGCTCGACATCTGTTAGATTGTATAAAAGAACAAATAAAGAACAACAGCAAAGAGTGAGCAAAATCATTCACGGTGAAAATCAGTGTGATGTAGCTATCAAGAAAGCCAAAACCGCAGCCGAAAGTGATTCTAATGTGTGTGCACCAGCTGGTGCTAGTGAAATTGAAATTTCGTCTGGAAGTGTATTTTTCAAATTTAAATTCTAAAGTTGGAATAATTATTACAATGTGTGTAATTCGTTGTTCATGAATAACATGTATATCTTTTGTGTTGGATTTGTTGTCATTTTTTCTTAGTGCTTACCTTTAACTGTCCAATAAGTTGTAAAAAAGTGTCCACTATTTTTAATAGTAGACAGTTTTTCCAACTTATTGGACAGTTACAGGTAACTTATTGGATTGTTTTTGTTATTTCAAGGATAAGAAGGTATTAAAAGAACAAAAGATGATGTCATAACAATGTTTTAAGCGATGGTTCAAAACATAATAAATCTCTTTTTTTCTTGTAGACCACGAACATTTAGAGACATATAATACACTCGAAAATATATAAATATAGTAAAATGAAATGCTTTTGAGATAAATATAAGAATAATCTTATAGATATCCAAGAGAAAAAAGAATAGCCCGTGGCTCGATGGGAATGGATCGAAACAGATATGGACAATCACTATCGCCCAGCAGAATGTTTGTTTCCTTACACGTCACGTGATGGAATTTTAGTATTCACAGAGTTACCTGGGTATAGAAATCACGTGGTTAATTATAATATTCAGCAGGTAACAACGTGGTCAAAAGGACCTGTTTACTATAGAGAAAGTGAACACACGAAGAAACAGTTTTTTCTCTTTTTAACCATCTGCGCATGTTTGTCTATTGATCTCTTTTTAATATGAGGTAATATATATAAATATACAACTACCATGAAAAGGAGAACAATAGACAAACATGCGCTGACTATGTATTAAGCCTGTAAAAAGGTGGGCGTACTCATTATCCTATGGAGATTCCAGAATATGCGATGATCACTCCCTACAAAAACGACTTCGAACTTCGTTAATACGAACTTTTAATTAACGTAATTACACAAAGTTGCATTTAAGACATTGGCCATTTCTACCATTAAAAGAAATATGCCCATTTTTAAAATTAAATATGTCGCAATTTCTTAGTTTCTTTAAGTGCAGTCATCCTTTCCTTCAGTGGTATGAGAGGAGTTGCGGATAAGCGTAACAGACGGACGGACGGTCGGACAGACGGACGGAAATACCGATTATATATACCCTCCCGCTTTTCAAGCGAGGGGTATAAAAAAGAATAATAATTTATACCAACAGAATCAGTAGAAGGTCTTCCGTTGCAAACGAAAGACCTTAATAAATTTTATTTACGACACTGTAAAAACGAGTTTCATTATAAATTAACTTACACTTTGATGTACTTAATAATTAAGTATAATTTTCTTCTCTCAATTGAATTGAAGGATATTCTCATTAAAATGGATTACAAAAAGAATTATGTATCTTATAAGACCGCGGAATATTAACTGGCAAGATTGGAAATATACAGTTTAGATCATTTTTATCTGTTACATTCAAAACATTCAGTGATAGGCAATGAAATGGATGGGTACAATTCGACGCGCACGTTGGGAAAACATCGGATTGAAATTGAAGATAGGAATTCATTTTCAATCCACCTGAGCTGTTTTCATAGCCAATTGTGAATGTATTATCCAAAAATCAAATAATTTCAACTGCCAAATACATATTGCTTGAAGTTCACATTAATATGAGTTTTAGCTTATAATTTAAAGAAAGCGAAAGATCAAAGAAGACAAAGATTATTTTCAGGAGATATTTTATTCTAGAAGAAGAGGGGAGAGGTAAAAAATTCGAGTCAAATAGCTTTGTACGAATTAACTTTTAGGATGACAACTTTCTTATTTTCTTCCAAGATCGAAAAGCCCCCCCCCCCCCCTTCCCCCATCGTAAACTTACATAAATTATACCAAACCGGCAGAAATCAAATATTTGTCCCTTCATGCATTTCTTTGAAACACTGGACAGAAAATTCTGATTTATATAAATTATCTTTAAACTATACCAAAATTGAAATTATATTTGTCTTTGGGTCAATCAGTAATGGTGTGCCTTCTAGAGTAGCTGAGGTGGATTGAAAATGAATTTCGGTCTGCAATTTTAATCCGATGTTCTCCCCACTTCGCGTCGAATTGTGAACCGCCCATTTCATTGTCTATCACTGAATGTTTTGATTGTAACAGATAGAAATGACGTAAGATGTATATTTCTAATCTTGCCAGTTAATGTTTCGCGGTCTTATCTTATATACATTTGTTTGTTATGTTTTTTTAAAATCAAGATTGCACAATGAAATTGTTGTTGAAATAAAATTGTAAATTTAACTGAATTTATATATTATTTTTTTCCTCGCATTGATAGCCATATTTTTCATATATATTCAATTGTCTACTTTAATTACATCTATTAACCACTGTTCAGGAAGCCATTAAATTTTTAATAAAGATGAATGAAATTATCATTTTTGAAGATAGAAAAACGAAAATATAATTACATTTGCGTGCCATAAAGTTATTCAATTCGTCGTCACCACTGACACATTCAAAGATAAGATTGAAAATTCAATGCTTCAACAGCGTTAGATATTTCTAATCTTTAATTGGGGTGTGTGATCGGTCTGCAGAGGATGCTCACTCCTCCTTGGCACCTGATCCCACCTATGATATTTTAGAGTTCCTTGTTTGCTCTGCTCCTATTTTGTATTGTTTTATGGACTTTTGATCTTGAATACTTTCGTTATCACCATATTTTTTAAATTGTTTTAGTCATTGCTTATTTTTAATGTCATAGGTAGATCATTCCATCTGAAATATATATACTTCTCCATTTAAAAAAATGCATACCTTCATAAATGCCATATTCCAGAAATTCGAAACTGTTTCCGTACTACTGAGTGCATCATCTTTATACTCTGCGTGTAAATTGTCTACCAGCTGTTTTTTGGCGCTGATATTTTTTGTCTTCAGTAAAAGAAAATAATGTATTGTTTGTAAGTATAGCAATGCTAGGAATATTCAATTTATATAATAAATATAAATATATAAATATGAATTAATCAATTTAAGAAGGTCGCTCTGCAAAGCTTAGGATCTTATGCTTACATGGCTATATAATCAATAACATGTATATTATATCTGTAAAATAAGAAAGATTTAAAATTTTTAGTAGGCAAATCTAATGTCAGTGCATAAACAAAGAAAACATTTTATAATTTAATTTTATAATATTTTAATATCAAATTTAATACATCTCTATCAATTGTTTAATTCAAATTCAAAAGAAACTTAAAATATTAATTTATTAGAATATTACTGTTATTCAAAATCATTTTCTGTATTATGAGGTTGAAGAAAGGCCAATATATCAAAAATACAAATAAGGTAATTATGAGACTTAAAACAAAATGATTAAAAATTTGCTATGACAATTTACTATTTTATATCTTCTTTTCATACAAAGTAAAGGGTTATGAGTTGCCAAACTTTTTTTCTAATTGAAACGTTTTATTTAGATTGTAACATAAAAATCTTTGCACTAATTGTGTTTCTAGAGTATAGAAAATGCCTTCCTACTTTGTGTTCTAACGCGCAGTGACTTGTGTTATTCTTCAATTTTATGCCAATTTTTATCTATTTTATACTTGCTAAAATCTCGTAAAATAAGAGAATGAATGATCTAATTAAAATATTACGCTAAACTTTAGCGAAACATGTGACGCGGTAGAAAGTGCTTGCTGGGAAAAAGTTACGTCATATTTCTATGACGTGAACATGAAGTGTGTGTTGAGTAACTGTTCAGTAAGTTGTAAAAAGTTAAACTTCTGTCAATTTGCATTTTTTAAATTGCATTATAAGCTTACTTAATGTTTCTTTAAAAAAGAAAACAAAAAACTACAGGTTTTTGGGGCGCTAATCTCACTGAATGAAATTTTCTTTACTTACATAAGCATCATGGTCAAGTCCATGTTCAGCTATGAGAAAACCGAAATATTTGTTCAATCAATGTATTAAAAGTGTTATTAAGATTTTTCGAAAGTCTTAAAAAGTTTTATTTAGTTGTAAATAAGGAAATGCAAATAAGACACTGGAACCCCTACTATAATGAAGAATGGATGTGTCTACGCCTAGGTATGGATATTTCAAATTGACAATTCAGCCAAGCAACAAACTGATACTAAAATCTAAACTCAGTAGGTGCATAATGGATTACTAGTATGTTTTAAAGACATTAAATATATAGTAATGGATGCGTGTTAAAGGGAAAGGTACTAGATTCCCTTTATCTTTAGTGTTTGGAAGCTCAAATTCCAAAGTTACATTAAAATTTGACCATATATATTTGAACAATGTCGGATTTTCAATTCATACCCCCACTGTTGAAAAAAATTAAGGGGGTATAATACCATAAAAGGAATTTTGTTATTTAATTACACTTTCAGACTGTGATTTTACCCAGAGGTGAATGAAATAACATACATTGTATAAAGCGATTTTCATTTTAATTTGAAAGTTGCTATAATGTAACTAGTCAGGTTTTCAGTTTAACATACGTTACTCAGTGTTACGTGTGCCTTTAAGACTCTAATAAGGTTACATTGTATTTTATTCACATCACTAATGTCTGAATGGGGCTATGTTTGCTCTGCTCCCGGTTTGTTTTTTTAAATGGACTATTCAGCTTGAGCTGGACAATTTTCTTTATCTGAGAAGTTCCGAATTAAAAGTAGGTATTTCCAAAACTAATAACTAATGGGCTACTTCATTTCCGCTAGCTCTCTAATTGAGACTTGTTGACATATTTACTAGTAAAAGAAACTTGGTGATATTTCTCGATCGCAAACAAAATTGACTCAAAATATATAACACGACTTTTCAAGCTGAAAGGGGGTTGAAATAAGGTTGCGCGTAAAGATAAAGTTGTCATTACTAGGAATTTCTCCACATTGATAGCCACGTAAATGTATATTCTTTTATAACAGTTATGATTTTGCCGAAATTCAGCCATTTCTTAATTTATCATTGAGTCGAATCTGAGTGATGTTTATCACACTTATTGTGAGTATATTATTTCTACACTAAATTGATAACGGATTTAACTGTTATTTCCAGATCATTACAAAGAACACACGGCGGTTGTGATCAATTCGCAGAGGATACTCATTTATCCATGGCACCTTATCCCATCTCTGATGTTCTGGAGGTCAATGTTTGCTCTGCTCAAATTTTGTATAGTTTATGGATTTTTAATTTTAAACACCCTTTGTTATATCTATATTCTTCACTTCAAATGATATAAAAAGCTGACCAATGTCATTTACCATTCAACCCTTTAATCAATACAGCAAATTGAATATTTTGATATACATTAAACAGTAATATATGGAAATGATAACAGTTAATCTTTTATAACTACGTACCTCTTCTCTCGTGTGAATCCACAACCCAAAGATTACCAGTGTTGACAAAAATAGCAGAAGACCAAAAATAAAATACTGTAAGATAAAACAATATTAAAGAATTTATCAAAAACAAATGCAGAATATGTAATATAAAAATATTTAATTTACAAATTGAACAACTTTATCATATTTGGCTCTTGTGAATGCTTTCCAACACGATAAACCAATTTGTAAATGTAAATCACACCTATGGTATTTCACATTCTACCATTGTTAGTTTGCACGTTTACTCTTTTGCAGAGGAAAATGATATATTTTTATTTAGGATGATATAACAAACTGAGTTATGATAGAGATTTAAAGTAAAATATTCAGATTTCTTTTAATTTTGTACACATTTTCAAACTGTAACTATATCCAAAATGCATTTTAACACACACACACTATCTCTCTCTTCTAATTAATACTCTTATATACTGGACGATGCTACTAACATAAGTGGTAGCTTTTTTTTTCTTTCATCTAATTCTTTTTTACCTATGAAAAGTTTGTTTACTTTCCTGACATTATGTATGTTACATTAGTTCAAATAATGTTATGAGTATATATTTTTTTTATTATTTTCTAGATTCTGAAGCAGTTATTTTTATTATCCTAAATAACGGCAAACATAAGCAAAATGAACCTTAACACGTGCTTATTTTTTTTTCAAGAGTAAGGACATGCTGTCGAAAAAGCAACATTTTTTGTGTGATATAAGTTATCGGTTTTTAATACTGTTAATATAGAATAACAAGAAATTTCTTACTAAACGTTTAGGGACCAAAGGTTTGTTCATTGTCTTTTGGATGAAAATAATTCTTACAGGGAATAATTCTCTTTTAATTCCTTTATAGAATGTACCAATCATCTGCCATGTCTGCCATTGTTACTTCATACTTTTTGTGAGGAAACTTCTTTTAGGTAGAAACAACTTCTTCTGATTATTTTAATAAAACTTCGATAGCTTAAGTACATAGTAATGAGATTCAAATTGGGTTTAAAGAATAATTTTAGACGAACAGAGTTTTTCTAGCTACATGTATAACATTTTCTAAATGCATAACATTTTGAAAAAAAAATTCTTTGGAAAAAATGTCTCAAATAAAAATTTTAGCAAGGAACAAAGGAAGAAAAAACGAAGATAAGAAATTTACCCCATATATTATAATATTCCATCGTGATTCATCTTGTTTTTTGGAAAGCATCGTTTTAAGAAAAAATCCTATAATGGCTTCAAGCATTACGAAAAATCCTATCACAATTAGCATTGAGGATAAGATTTTTATTTCGTCACCAAGTCCAGTTGAAAGAATTGAAATGAAGTTCAAAATTTTGTTGACATCATTGTCCAGTAGGTCCCCTCCAAGTATGACTGCACCAGTAAGGAACCATCCAAAGCCAAAAAAGAACTGAATAAAAAACAATTCAAGCTAACATCTAGAGTTTATTTATAAAATTGCACAAGATGTGGCAAATAAGAGCAACAAAGAATTAAATAAGAAACTTTATACATCTTCAAATACCTCATGCATTAAAAAATTGATATAGTCAATGGTACATGACAGTTTTATCAGATGGTTAACGTTATTTAAAACAGATTTCAACACAAGCCTTTAACTCTTTAAACATTTATCTTGATAAAATATGCTACAGAGTTGGACACGTCTGTTTCATATTTGGATATTTTACTTGAAAAAGACTTTAATGGTAATCTAACAACCAAGCTCGAAGTTTTACAACGTCAACTTCTCTTACGTATGGAGCAATATACCTCCATTCGGAGTTTATATATATCAGTTGATTCGACACGCAAGAGCATTCTCTACGTATGAACAATTTTTATCATGAGGCAAATTATTGACAAATATATTGTAGGAACAAGAATATCAGCAGTCTGGTTTAAATTTATCATTTTGTAAGTTGTATGGTCGATACAATAACATTGTCAACAAATACAATATATCATTGAGTCAAATGCTGACAGACGTTTATCATATTAATTTTTAGTCCATTATTTATATACTGAATTGACGACGGATTTCCCGATCATGACAAGGAGCACACGGTGGGTGGGATCGGTTGACAGGGGATTTGCACTTCTCTATGTCACCTGATCCTACCTCTGATGTTTTTGAAGACCGTGATTGCTCTGCTCCTGTTTTGTGTTGTTTAATGGACTTTTGATCTTGAATTGTTTGTTAGCTCCATAAGATTCACTGATAGAGAAAAAATACAAATCTACATGTAATAGCAAGATTCGGGTACAAATAACTACCCCTATAGAATAAAGATTAATACACAAACGAAATGTGTACACATCATGCTTCCTTAAATATCTAATTTTCCAGTGAATGATTAAACGTATTTTTATCAATCTATAAATCAAAATTATGTCAGTATCCAAAATGTGTCAACTACCGGTCTCCTCGGTAAAAGATTTACTGCATCATAAACAATTGACTGAAATTTCACTGATGTCAATTCATTTCTGATTATTATTGCATAGATCGTTTCTAGGAATACAATTGTCACAATCCTCCAAATTCATTTATTGATTGAATGTAGAAGCTGTATACAATATATCAAACCATTTTTTTCATCATATTCATTTTTTTTTAAACTTCGAAGTTCTCTTCAAGGATATAAGATTTTCTTTTTTTTTTTAATAAGACACAGTTTTAAATGTACAAAATGAAAAATAAAGAGAGTATTCGAGTTAAAAAGTTCAACAATAAAAATCAGGATTAAAGCAAACACGGACCTCCAAAACATCAGACCTTGGGCCATAAAACTTAGACGAGCTCACTTTTGATCTCAGTCTCACTTTTTGATTTTTGTTTTCCATTCATTTAATCGACTATAGAACTTGAGAAATGATGGCATTATACGAGATTGTTGCTATTCTTGTTTCATCAACTTGTTTTTCGATAACTTATCTAGTTCAAGAAATTTTTCCAACTGATGCATGCTCTTGCAAATCGAATCATATGATATTGAATTGATATACCAACTTAAGTTGTTAAAATTGATCAAGTAGAATATTGGATATTTAATTTCCCCTTCGTGAAACATGGATTCGTATTAATCATAAAGTGTCATATTAAATCAATAAAATAAGAGTAAAATGCACTAACCAAGATAACATTTACAATTTGCAGTGTCGCACTTAAACAATTATCTACATCCGTCTTTGTTTTGCTATCAGTCTCCTTTTCTTTCTTCATAGTGGAAGTATTTCTACAAAATAAATATATATTTTTAAAAATATACATGTGACTTTAAATATATCATAAATTGAGCACATTACTCCTTATCATATAGTTTGACTACATCATTCTGCCTTTCTCGTCCATCTACATATCTGCATGAAGAATAACCTTCCAGCTATTTAAAAAAAACGTAGGGTTTTGCACACTTCCTCTTAAATTTAATGAACATAAAGCATCTCTAATGAATCGTATACATGTATTTCCAGAAAAACAAAGAGGCGTATATTTTCTTTGAAAACATGAAAAAACAAAGAAGGTAAAGTAATTAATACTATATGCATCCCTATTAATCATCTAGCAGTGTGTATTAATTTTAATAATGAAGAAGACCCTCGAGATTGATTGATTAATTGATTATATATATTTTTTTTCACTTATGTATGGAGACGCCACCACGTGCTGGTTGAGAGCTGCAAATACTGTCCTATAATCGGCACTCAGGGCCATTGAGCAGAGAGGGGTCTTTTTCGTGCCAGCACCTACTGCGACACGGGACCTCGGTTATACGGTCTCATCCAAAGGACCTGTTCCCATGTCCCACTGTGTCATTCGAACCCGCGACGTAAGGATTAAAGCCTTACTTCGCGACTCTATAGCAGACGCTCTTACCTCTGCGCCACGCGGGCGACATAAAGTTGGACTAAGATGCGTGGTTTAAGGTGTAGAAAGAATTATTGATATGGTGTAGGGTCTGTAGATGAAGAGAAGCAGAGATATATTGATTTAGGTAAGCAATGCGACATATGACCCTCCTGTAATTAATATTTCTTTGCAAAGGAAGGGGGGGTGAATTAAATGGCAAAAAATATATCACACGAAGTGACGGTGTTATTTCATGTTCATTTTTCTATGCGCATATTTCTAACCTCAATTAAATAAATATAAACACTGTTGATTTTTGAGGCTTCATTTTTGAAATATTCTCATTGAAACATAAATTAGTACAAGTATGGCTTTCTAGAAAGTTTGAGATGACTTCTTATTGCTTTAAAAATGCACAGAACAAACAGTGGAATGTAGTATTTTTTCATGACTATGACAGGAAAAACCCTCTTTTTTAAGAGTGGGTTGCTAGTAGTTAGAAAAAAACTGAACTGAACAGTTTTTGACGAAGAAAAAAGGGAGAGTGTCCAAACTTGAAAATCCTCCTTTCATGGACGAAAGGGTAAAATTGTTACTTTTCGTCTTTAAAAAACACATTTGGGGGAAGGATATGAATATATTTGGTTCGTTCAATATCTAATGCAAAATATGATTTGAAATAAGAAAAGTACGTGATACATATTCTTACTAGTTTTAATCTCTCAAGGCATTCCTTGTTACCCTTTACATTGTATGTCCTACATCATGGAAAATAACCTGGGCATACTCATTCTTAGAGGTACGGATGCCCTAAAGACACTGATGATTATTATTTTTTCAATGATAATCTTCCTTTTGTTCTTTACTTGCTTTATTTACATTCAGCTACACAAAGAATAAATGCTATACAATTTTACTTTTAGTAACAAGGGATGATTAGTATGATTTTATCGATCATAGAACTTACGAAACGATGGATTTAAACGAGATTGCTGATAATCTTGTTTCATCAACTTGTGGGTCAATTATTTACCTCGTTTTAGAACTCGTTCACTAGTAGAGCATGCTCTTGCGTATCAAATCAGCTGAGAGATATAAAGTCCGTATACGGATGTATATTACTGCATAAGTAAATGAAGTAGACAATTGAAAAGTCATCACGTTTATCACAAAGCTTGGTTGTTAGATTCCTATTAACGTCTTTTTCAAGTAAAATTTCCAAATCTAAAATAGATGCTTAGAATATGTGGTTTCTTTTATCTCAAACTCAATTGCATACATCGTATCGGCATGAGAATGTAAATAACCATTTTAATTGACACATATAATACGTCGTCGATACATATGGAGTTGAAGGCCACAGCAAGTTTTTTTCGCCTTTTCATGTATTTTGAACAAATCCTGCTTGATATGATTACAAAATAGGTCTTCTAATAATAGGACGCGATTGGTACCCATGGGAATCCAATAGATTGTTAGAAGACCTGGTCTCCAAAAACCAGATAGATACATTGTCAATAAGAAACTCCAGCATCTTTAGATGTCAATATCACTACAATTACAACAATAACAATATTACTTGTTAGTACAATCAGGGTGTTAACAAAGAATTAATGTTTGAATTTTAAGATTACCAGTGTCTCAAGGGCATGATAGACAACAAATATTTCCGTTGAAGGTTCTTCAATGGTTGTGTCTCCTTTTGTTTAAATAATATCAGGATAATTTTGTGGGATTTTTTATACGAGTGCAGGAAGCTTTCGAAGTGAATAAAATCTTAATTGTACTAAAATGTCTGAAAGATATTTCTTATTTACTTTACAATCTATCATTTATGCAAATGTTGACTGAAGATTTTTTATAAGAATTTTATGTCCATTATTTTCATACCGAATTGTCTCTGTTCGTCCGATCAGGACAAGGAGCACACGTTGGATTTTTCTCAATAAAACTTGATCTCATCTTATATGCCTTTACAGTTTAGGGTTTGTTCTGGTCCCAAACCATATTGTTTCAATGGCCTTATGACCTTAACAATGCTATACACTGGACCAAATATCTAAGTGTTAACCTAACATTTTTTTAAGTTTTAAAGAACAAATGCATAGAATAAATAATATCTTTAATTCATTGTTAATGATGCATATTTAAGTTCGATATTGCGTAAATTTCATGTAAGTATCTTGTCAGAATTTTTAGCAAAGTGTCAAGGAAATTATGTACCCTCAAATTGAAAATTCACACACAAAAATCTCTATGGAGTAAGACCACCACTCGCTCTAAATACTACAAGACTATCTTTACTGTTGGGTACTATGTACCCTGGATAGGAGATTGACCCATCTGCTGCCACACCTACTCCATAGATCTTCCTAAACCGTTGAAATTGTGTGGAAGGGGTTGGGGTGGTTGACATTTCTTATTAAAATCCCAAATGTGTTCAATGAGATTCAGATCCGGGAATTTGACAGTATCATCACACAGATGCCTTCTGATCAATATCCTAGGGTGTTTAGCACGTTAGTGCAAAGCTTTAAGGATGATTCGGACTGCTTGAACTCATATTAGCATGTAACGAGCACCGATTTCGTATCATTTTCATACGATTGAAATTATTTGTTTTAATGTTTCTAAGATTGTTCCAGGACAATGTAAGAAGGATATGGAGATAACGAACAGTATTCAATCTCAATGTCCATTAAACAATATACAAAATAAGAGCAGAGCAAACACGGACCTCTGAAACATCAGAGGTGGGATCAGGTGCCATGGAGGAGTAAGCATCCCCTGCCGACCGGTCACACCCGCCGTGTGCTCGTTGTCATGATCAGGAAATAACGGAAAAAATCCGTCGTCAATTCAGTGTATAAATAATGGACTAACAATTGGTATGAAAAACGTCAGTCAACATATGACTCAATGATAAATTGTATTTTCTGACAAGGTCATTGTATCGACCATAGAATTTACGAAATGATGACTTTAAACGAGACTTGTTTCATCAACTTGCTTGTCAATAATTTACCTCATTTAAGAAATTGTTCGTACGTAGAGCACGCTCTTGCGTATCGAATCAACTGAATCAACTGAATCAACTGTAACAGTCTTTTAACCAGGTGATGCGAAATTTTGCGAAATTTTTGCCTTAGGCGAAGAAGAAAGTCTCTTCCGGTTTTGTTAAATTTTGTCCAAAACTTCCAAATTGTGATAAATTGGCGATGTAAAATGACGCAAATCCTATAGAAAAATGTTTAAATGGGTTTTGATATTGGTTGTTAATTTTTAAAAGTAATATCAAGGACAATAAAACATTTTAATAAAAGTGAGTAAAATGTGGTGCAAGGGTGGTCCAGATATCAACATTCCAACGGTTTTCCCTTCTGCCTGAATGGTCATTTTGCCAATGTGTTGTCTTATATAGTGAAACCAGCTTTTTTTGAAATTTTATGTTAATTACACAATAATAAGATGTTAATTACACAAAACATGTGCCGCAAAGTACAGATTTATTGTTTTTAGCTTCGTCACGTAACATTGGTTTTCATCGGTAATATTTGATTTTCTTTCTACAATTGTTGAGAAGACTCATTTATTGTAATAATTTAAAAATATCATACCATTCTATACATTAGTTTTTAAATAAATACATTTATTAAAGTGAACACTTAAAAGTTTTGTTAAGTGTAGTTTTACATGAAACAAGTCTTAACACAAAAGACTAATCAGGAAGATACTGCGTGTATAGATTTAAGATTAATGAGCTACTTCTAACAACTTAAATATTTTGTAAAGTAAAAAAAGTATTCGAAGAACCAAGAAAAAATAAACACATTTACAACTGATTTGTACTTTGACAAAAGCAGTACAAACTCCAACAGGATCTACCCACACAAGACATTCAACTTGAATGTCTGTGTCACATTCTGATTATTTAGAATTCATATTTTTTTTATCATTGCATAACACTCTGTTGGATGCTTAGCAACATACACAAACAACGGTCTTACCAATGAGAGTTCAGCAGAACATACAATTGCATGGACTAGGAAATTAAATTTACATAACGGTATTGATGTTTAGCTATCAATATCAATTTTGAATCAGATTTAGCTCTATTACATAAATTAACAATTTTTGTACCAACAGCATAGAGGATAAAATTGCATTGACAGTGCCATTTAAAGACAAACGGGGAAAGTTAACCACAGAGATTTTTTTATTGTATGACAAATAAAGAGTACTTAATTTCAACAATATAATTAAATACACATAATTGGTTTTAAAAATGTTTTTGTTTTGTCTTCATTT